AAGTAACAAACAAAGGTTAAAAACTAATTTTACACATAAATTAGATTAGTCTATCAAGCTTCATTCATTTCAACTTATGTATGTAGCGTTGAATGCACAGCTGTTAGTGCTACTAATGAAAAGAAAATTTTAGTATTGTAAGAAGGAGGTGGGACATAGTCAAATGAGAGGCCTGTCATACTCATACTTCTCACCAGAAACATCAACATGCAAGATAATATTAACATGATCTTCAGTACAAAATATAATGTGTCAGAAGTCAGAACCAACCTTGGAACTTGGGTTATCGTAGTAGAGTAACATGTAAACAAAGTACCTAAAGATAGATTACCTCAAGATGACTATTCAGATATGCAACCTGAAATAGGTCTCAATGGACTTTGTCACAACATCTGCAAATCATTGTAATTCAGTATGTTCTGAGGAAAAATATTTAGCTTTTCAGTAGATAACATAAGACCTACAATACCTATTAAACTTGCCAGAACCATATATCATTTAATTATGACAATAAATATAATTGCCAATAAAGATCGTTTGTACATACATATATTGAACCAAATTTTTTATTCCTTCTTTTGAGCTCTCCCTCATCTTCTTGAATTTCTCATGAGTGACCACCTTTTACACTTGACTTCAGATTTCATTTGCACTTTTTTGGCTTCTCATTAATCATCACCTTTGCGGATCTGTTCCAAATTACAGCCAAGAAACAATTCATTAGTGAGTTATAATTTTCTTGTGTTAGCTTCGAGCCATTTGTGCAGTAAAACAATCAGTAAGAAACTACAAACAATGAGCACTATACATGAATAGGTTGACGTGATAACTTAACGATCTCTTCGATAGAAGGGGGTAAATATCATAGTAGGTTGAAGAAACTTGTCTAACCAAGAACATCATATGATCAAGATAGCTTGATAAATATCATGAGACGTCTCTGCTGGAATGTAAATTGATGGACATGCACCTTATTCATCTTACGTTAAGCTCATAGCTAAATAGTGCAATTCCTTTTTTGTCAGATAGTGTAATTTAGGTTTGAGAAATAGCAGGTTTATGTAAATACTTGAAATTCATGAACCAATTGAAGTGTGCCTAAATGAACAATAGTGTAACTTGCGAAGCCTATTTATACTGATGTGAAAAGCTGCAATTGAACCATGAAATATGAAGTTAAGGACCATAAGATAGGAAATTACTTAGGCCGCTTAGTTAAGTCCTATGTCCATGTATCACAGTTACCACAATCAGCCTTCGGAAGGGAAGAACAGAAACCTTCTTAGCCAAATATAAAGATTCTTTAAGTTGATTGGTGAAATCTAGAAAAACATAGTTTAACAGAATGTATTTTATATTTAATAATTTAGTAAAGGCATAGGCTGCACTATCAAAACAGATGCAAGTCATGGTTACTTTAGTAAAGGCATAGGCTGAC